TTTTTTTTTTTTTTTTTTTTTTTTTTTTTTTTTTTTTTTTTTTGGCAAAACTAAGCTTTTCCTGTGCTCCTGATACTGTGTCTAAGATACCCGCTCCAAGATTTAGAGGTTGACTTGTTTGCTAAGTCTGATAGCTCCTTTAGCTTAATCTTTATTGTCCTACAAACTTGCTTGACCTTGCTCAAAGGGAACTTTATCAGAGGCTGTTGTCAAACTGATAAATCTCCTGGGGCCTGCTGGAACTTTACTCGTCTGCTGAGTGCTTGTGTGAGCCGCAGCCGCTAACAGAGTTTGTTTCTTGGCTAACACGGAAGTGGGAACTTTTTGTCCTTCTCAAAATATGTTCCTGAGTGCAATATAAAAGAAAAACATCAACCATATAACTGTGATAGTCTAAAAATACACTTAATCCATTCCATGATGTCACAGAATAGATAGAATTCAGTCTCTCACCACCCACAGATAAAGACATTTTGCTTTTTGGTGCCACATGGAAATGAACCATACCCTAGGAATGCTGACATTAGGATCAGGGAAAATCCAACCTTGAGGGAAGATCCCGGAAACCTCTTGCCAGAGTTTCAAATGTTTTTGAAGAAGTTCAAGAAGAGCTCTTATTCGAAGAAGCTCCAGTAAGCAAAGGAAGAATAAATAAGTGGACTTCACAACCTGGACTATTTTTATTTCATTAAAAGATAACTTGCTAATGATTACTGCTGTCTTTCCATGAAATTGGCTGCCTCGGGAATAGTAACCCACTGTGGGTTACCTCATGGTGAGATGTCATTTGAAGGATTCATGCTCAGGCTGCAAAATCAGGCTAAATCCTGTTGAACGTGGAGAATTTATGGTTCAATGAGTATTTACCCTCATAAGCAAGACAGGAGAAAATTTGATTTCGATTTTTGAAAGAAGAAAAATTTAATATATTTTATCTTATTATACATTTCCCCTAAATTACAAAGTCAACAGCTGCAAATATATTCTGCTACAAAGCTTTCTGTAAGAAATATCTCTATAAGAAAATACATCTCATTAACATTTCCTCTAAATAAATTACTTCAAATAATAACTTTTGAGAGCGTAAACATAAGGGAAATAATACAGGAACCAGACTGTAAGTGTAGTGGCTATAGAAGAAATGACTGGCGAAAATGTTTTCATTTCCTGTCACCAAGCTTGTACAACCAATGTCACCAGCACAGGCTCTTGGGTTAAGTAGCATACAATTTTTGTTTTCGAAGGCATGTGTGGAAAACATAAATCTTCATCATCCTAGGAAATATGTTTGAGAAGCTGAAATTCTCCATAAAGGCTCTGATTCAACTTCTATCGGGAAAATTTGAATTTGAGGCTACAGATGGAGTATAACTGTAATAAAATTCAGCAGTGACTTTCTGTCCATAAAAGTTTAAAGTATCGACTATAAAATAAACTTTTGTTCTCGTACGCTGTAGACATAGGATTTAGAACTGAGTTAAACAAAGGTAATAAAATGTTTTCAAAAGAATTTAGAGCCTGTGGTTTCTATGGATTACTGATCTGTAGATTTTACAAGTTATTATAGTTTTAAACCTCAGTCGCTGTAGAAAGCAGAAACTATATCTTTGGCAATGAAATAGCTGCAGCAGAGAGGGCTTCATGCAGATGCCTCGCACGGTACAGGGTCAGTTAGAAGCTTGAGGACCCTGAGTCTCACCGTGCTACCTAGCTGGGGGATCCACTCTGTGAGATAGCCTCATATTAAGATTACTTTAGGACTCAAACATATAAAATAAATATTTTGAGTGTATGAAAGGAAAGGGACCTTACACTGAACTCATCTGCATGTAAATATTGAGATAGCAAATCCCACAGAGGACCTGCCTTTATGTTGTGCAGTCTCTGGTCTCACAGGTGAAGAGTCAGCACAGGTCACACATGTGATCCTGTATGGCCAAACCCAGGACAATTGATAAAGTTCCCCCACGTCCTTAGCTATTTCAGGACAGGACCATTTCACTCTAGTCTCAGTTATCTGCTTCATCCCACCCTACCACAGAGTGTGTAAAAAATAAGCATATTTACAACAATCCTATCAAAAGGTAGGTATGTCAAACTCTTAAAAATCAATGGTATCTCCATTTACTTTGTTTCCCCATGTTGTAGACATCTTTCAATTTTTTTGCAGTCTGCCAAGATTATGTTCTGTGCATCTATTGCACTGGTCACAATTAATGGGTTTAGTTTGGAAAACAAATGTATTCGGGGGTAGGACTCTTATATAACCAAGAGAAATGGAAGTCATTCCTTCAGAATCAAGGAATCTACTTTTACCTTATACTGGTTTTATCAATTACAGGTGAAATTAATTTTTTGAAGGAATGTAAATAAACAGTTTGAGGGGAAGTTGGTTTGTTATTTTTCAAAAGTCCTTGACTCCTTTTTTTCTTATCTATCAAGGCTTTAACTGACCAGACAAAGTTGAGTTCTAAATTGAAAGGTGATTCCTCATTGCAAATTAACTATGCTCCACATTTTCATTTCCTGTTTATCAACTCCATTCGTGTTTTAGAGCTTATTGTAGGCCAGGCTACACTGGGAGTATTTTGTTAAGCTATTAACTGAATAGATCCATGGCTTTTTTATAGGCAATCGCCAAGCTGAAAGAAACCTCTCCTCCAGCACAACCTAAACTCTTGGAAAGCCACATGGCACTCATCAGTAATTTCCATGGTGTGCTTTTTTAGAACAGCATTTTCACAAATGTGTACATTATTTACATAAACCAGTTGCATAATGGAAACACTCTGGTTGCTCTGCATTTGCCACCCACCCTAATCCACTCCGTTCTCCTTCATTTTCCCCTCTTTGTCTGCTCTATATTCTTCTCACAGTCACCTTTTAGCCATTCTTCTGCATTCCGAACCTTGTTTTCCACCATGCCATAAAGCATTAAATACACAAATTCACAGTCTGCTGGTGATGCTTTCCCTCGGAGGTGGTCAGATCTTCTGACACACGTGCAGTCTGGCTTTGGAAGAGTAGGTGGCATCTTTCCACACTTTGCAAGACAGGCCCTTGGCACAGTCACACCGCTGGAAAATTTCTAGCCCGTGAGAGCCCTTCTTGCGCTGTTTCGTGCAGACCTCTCCCTGGTGGAGCACTGGTTTGCAGATTTTCGTCCAGAAGTGACGAGCACAACAAAACCCTTCAGTGCAGTCTGAGGATCGCAGGCAAGGGTCTCCTTCGTGTCCTGGAGAATCACAGTATCAAAAGATATAACCATGAATTTCTACTTAGCGATGGGAGGCACATATAACACCTTTGCTTATACCATCGTCCACCAAGTTGCCATTTATAATATAGTGTCTTGGACTCATACTGAGTAGCTGTCCCTTTATTCATGTAAATCCAGCATCTGTCTCCATTATTAGCAATATGAACATCGAGTTGAATGAATAGCCAGGCCTGTGCTCTTTACTTCGTCATGACCTACCTTTAGATGGTTCCCTGATCATTCAGTTGTACATACTGAGTGAAAAAAACTATAAATGTTGATTTCAGACTAGTTAATTTTATGCCTTCCTAGCAGATCTAAACAAATCAGTGATTCAAGAACAAGGCTGAAATCTCCAGGGGTTTCTAAGACCATATACCAGTGAGAGTGCAGTCAAGAGAACAGAACCTAGGCATTAAACACAGGTTATGGAACGCAAAGAATTGAGCACACTGGTGGTGTGATTGGTGAGAAGCTCTGGTAAGTCACTGCCAGGTTTAACTTATGTCAGCATCCTGGGGTTGGACACAACGGCAAGAATGGAATCTTACCAGGCCTACTCGACAGGAGCTGAAGCTGCAAGGAAACCCAGTCCTTCCCAAAACACTACTTAGAAAATGTTGGCTAAGCCCAGCCAGGGGCATCTGACAAAGAGCACAGAAAATTCAGTCTACCAGGAGCTGTGAGACAGAGGAAGGGGAGGAAGGGCAGTCAGCCCATCGGAGGATGAATAGGTTCAGGGGCAAACGAGAACACATTAGCAGGTGGAAAAAGAAATCTGGGCTCTTTATCCAGAAAGAATATTAAGTCAGCAAACAGCCCCTACAGAGCCTGGCTGAAATGATGTGTAACCTGACAGCTCAGGGCTTGGCAAACTTTTCCACTTTTATAAGACTTTAAATATGTTGGAGTTTTGGGCCACAGACAAGGCCTAAATGAATAGGCGGCTGTCGGCTCCCAGAAAAACTTGCTTATCAAAAACAGGCAGAGGCCTAAGTGTGTTTACCCTGATCTGAGGGTTATCCATCATCCTGGATATAGTCCTACCATGTGGCCTACACACGCATCCAACAGAAGATGTCCCTCTCTTTCCTATAGAAAATGGTACACATAACTAGCAATGATTAGTAAAGTGTGAAAATCACTACAGAACGGAGGTCTGTTGGAATAAAGATATTCATATAATAAATCAATTTGGTAGAATATAAACAGGAAGTATGGAAATGAATTCCAGACCTCACAGAATGCAACAAAATAAGATTGTTTATGGAGAATTATTTATTGAAATCTTCAGTATTGAAATAAAGTTTAAAATATCAACCAGGTTTTCTCATTACTGAACCTCTCAGAGTTCTGTTCATTCCTGCTTATTGTAAAATTTCAAGAATGGAGAGATTCATTATTAAAAAATTCTTTGAACATAAGACACTTTTATTCATAGAACATCTTCAAAAAGAAGAACTCTACAAGATATACCTGGGGGAAAGCCTCCTTAAAATGAGGATGTTTCATACTTTTGAATTTTTATAAGTTTCAAAAATTTCATGCTTTGCAAATTTACTATTAGTGATTAGGTTTATAAAATATTTCAACATAAGGAAAGGGATTGCACGGCCATACGTAATCCCAGGATAAACCAATTTTGGTAGATTAGTTTTTGAACAATACATCTAGTTGTTGAATAAAATAAAATTTCTGAACCTGCAAAGGTGAGAAAAGGAGCCAAAAGCTTAGTGATTTCATCAATTGCCAGCAAAGATTTTCTTATTTACTTTTCAGAGTACTTTATTCCTTGAAAGGCACAAGCAGATATATTTGTGTAGATATGTACTCCTAAATTTGACAGCAAAATAAATGTTTGTTGAGAACAGGGCATGGTTAATCCACATACTACAATTCTCGGAATATATATTTTATAACAATGTACTTAATACTGGCATCCTCAATATTAAGAATCGAGAAACCCATTTAAATCTTGCCATCAGAGTACTTTCCTTATAATTTTTTACACGAATGGAATTAACTAGTAGTATCTTCATTTTTTCCCACTTTTATAAAAATGAGAAAAATTACACAGAAGCAAAGGCAGCCCTACCTTTTATATGTGACATCTTGGTGTGTGGTCTTCCCAGAGTCTGCCATCCCAAGTCATGGTGTGAGTAGTGACCATGATTTCTATCCCTATGCCGAGTGCCATCCAGAGCTGGGATGTGTGGGGTTAGGATGCTTTCAGTGACAGGGATGCAGATGCCTGGAGATGGTGACGAAAATTGTCAGGCTGGTTAGACCAATTCCGTGAGTCGTGCTCCTTATTCTCACACGAGCTGAGAACCAAATTACCTGTCCATTATCTGCCTATCACCTCACTACTCATTCATTTAATGATTTATGGAGACTGAGTATCGCATACCCTGGCTTTGAGGCCACGCTTCCTTAATCTGAATTTTTTTTCTTTTTTGCGACAGAATAACCTTGGTAAAAAATATGAATAAAACCAGAATTAATTTCTGTGAGTCTTTGTGAGTACATATGTGACAGTTAAGCTGCCTTGTTAATTGGGCTGACTTTAGAGCCACCTAGGGTATTAGTGTGGGGCAAGTCTGTGTGGGCCATGCAGGCATGACCTGGGTACTATACCTGGTCCCTGGCTCTTTCCTCTCAGGCATTGTTCCCCTGCTCTGCGGCCCAGCCACCATAAACTCAGTATATTTACTCTACCACACCCTCTGCTGTGATGGTTCTGCCTTAGGGTCAGTGACCACGGACTGAATCCCCTGAAACCATGATCCAAATTAGACCTCTCCTCTTCAGATTGTGGATGCCAGGCATTTTGTCCCAGCAATGAGCAAGCTAAGTCAACGTGTGAAGTTTTTAGAATAATGACACAGTCAAGAATTAAATTAATAGTTGCCTTTGTTTTAAAATCTCACAGGACATTTATCCTAAGGATTAGAGACTTTGCCTTTTAGCCATACAACCTTGGTCTATGCTACAATCTGTCAATATGATGTAAGCTCTTCTTCCTTGACTTGCTGTTGTTGCGAAGGTGCTCGCGGTAGGTCTGCACCCCGAGGTTGGAGCAGGCAGGCCTGCATGAGGCTGGTCCTGTGATTGGGCAGCCTGAGCAGATGTTTCTAATCACCTCTGCAGTTGACGATTTCATTGCAGTCTGTGTGTGATGCTTTACTTTATTACTAACGCCGAATCGTGTGCCTGTAAGGTTAGGTGAAGCCAGGATGCAGATGGAATCCTGTGTCTTTATTTGGAAGAACCAATCACAGCATCACCATACAAGGTGCCACAGGATATCTTGAAAACAGGAACTGAAGTACAAACAGCATAAAACTGGAAGAGGGACTCAGAAATGCGCTACTAAATCATAGCAGGTTCCTTTCTTGGTTCACTTTCATGTATTTGCTTATGTGTCCAGCAGATTGGAGTATCTAGCTACTTATGCAACATTTCAACTTTGCAATATCCTAGATGAGTGTACAGCATTTGATAGTTAAGATAGAAAAAGCCTAGTAATTCTAAGATTTGCCAGTTAATCTGGGCAATGTTATACCACCTAAATCGTAACCCACCCCTCCCCATCCTAAAGGATGCTTTCTCTCTCGGGAGTCTAAGTAAGGAGCGGTCAGACTAACCCACAAGACATCTGTCACTCCAACAAGAAAAATAAGGAGGCCTGGGAACGCATAACAAGGACTTGTACCGTTATTGCAGCGGGTTCCAGGGCAACACATGCCGTCTCTATGGCAACGCTTCTTTTTCCTTCGACACACCATGCACGCTGACGATCCCTGGTGGGGACTGTGGCAGTATCTCCCAACCTCACATTCCTTATCACTGCTGCAAGGGTAGGCCTGGCATTGGGGGAAACAACAGAAAGAACAGACATGAGACTCCGGCACACTTAAAACATCCGATGGTACCGAATCGTGATGCAAACAGCCACAGCACGCCATTCCTGGGATGAAACATGCCATTGTGATAATGTACTGAATACAGACCTTCCATGGTGACCCTTCCTCCACTGAGGAATCTGTAACTATTGATTGTGCATGGCGACAAAGGCGAAGGTGATGCTATTCATATAATTTCACCGACCCAATTTTGGAATTAGGATTCAACTTTGTCTTAATGACTAGAACCCTTAAGAGTGCCGTTGGTGACTCGGTGACAGTTGTGATTGTTGTACTGCTACTCTGTGAAGGGGCAGACTCAATAGTCATCCCAGCGCCTCCACTTCTCACCTGCTAATGGCGGAGGGGGGCTGGCTAAGTGAAAGAACAAACAGCTGCTCGATTGTGGAACGGGGATTGTAAGAGCAGCTGCGCACAGTTCCTGGAAGGAAAACACTTCCGGAACATTTGCAGACCAGGTATAATAAATAAGAGAGGGAGTGGCATCTTCATCCCTGCTGCTTCCAATGAGTAGCCAGAGATCGGGACTGCTGTTGCACCAGCCCCTAAGGAGCAGAAACGCTTTACACACAGGAGCCCCCTCGTCCACACCTTATCACGCAGAAAAGCTTGATTGTACTTAGAAGGCCACTTCAGCAGGGTCAGATGTTATCTCAGAAGTAAAAATGTGTGCTCTGGTCATGCTCTGCTTGCTTCTTTGAAGTCTTTAGAATATTTAAAAGGCCCCTGTTTCCAAATGGTTCAGATATGGCACCCCACATCAAAGGGACTCTGATTCTGACACAGGGAGACTCTTTTGTAAGCCTTTTTGTTGTTGTTGACTTTTTTTTCTGATCTTGAGAGCACTGAATTATTTTTTATTTGAAAAACACAAAATATATTCTTGAAAGCTACATCTTTGTCTCAAGCAAGCATAAGTGATATGACCTCAAAACTATGAATGAATTTGCTGTGACTTTCAAACAACTGGTGTGCACACACTGAGCCCCACCTGTTTTCCATTTATGTCTGATCATCTTCAGTTAGAAAGAAGAAATAGAGATGAAGGTTATGTGTGAGACTGAGGGAAACAATACATTTTAGCATCATTACCCTGTCTTCTTCACCCTTAAGGGAATTACATAGGGAAACCACTAACTTCAAATAAAAAGCGATCCTAAAAGGCTTGCACAGTGGCAATGTTTAATGCAAACAGTGTAATTATTATAATTGGAGCCAGATAAAGCTATAAAATGAATATGCATATTATTGTGCCACTCTTCAATTCTATCATGAGGCTTCAGAGAGTCTGGGCGAAGTTGAATTCAGAGCAGAAGGCCATTTTTCAAGAACCCACGACTGATGAAAACAAAACCAATGTCACTTCCCGCCTTTACCACACTTTTCTCCCGAAGCATTTACCCCCTTCCTATTTAAGCCCATTAATTTTATTTGAAATGCAATTCACATGTTTCTGATTCATTTACATTTATTTCATCAAATTGTTTTGCAAGAAGCATTTGATGTCTTACAAGTTTCTTCCCTTCCTCAAAAATAGGACATGTTCTTTCAACGGAAATAAACATGTGCCCCTAAAACATCATGTGCTAATTTACAATTCGAACAGCAGATCTTCAGATGATTCTGAATATAGAATAATTACTTGGTTCCCTTCCTTAAAAACTGTCTTGATGGTGGAGTGAAAACTGCTTTCTAAATGTCATGATTGATTTATGAGGAAAATGGTGAAAGGGCCATCACCTTTTTTCCCATTTTCAGCTGATGGGAAATGGAAACCATCGAAATGGCAAAAAAATCAATGCACGGGATATTAAAAAGGAGGTACAGTCATTCTATATTTGAATGAGATCACAAAGAATTCTCTCAATTTTTAAAAGGCCAACACATTTCATCTGAACCAAAAACTATACAGAAGGTATGCAGTTGTATTATGTGTTGATGAGTGCTGTGATTAATTTGAAGTAGAAATAACACTGGCAAAGAAAATATTGAGGATTTTTCTTTAATGTGAAAGGTTATGCATATTGTGAACTTGTTCTCAGAATGGAAATTGAGACTATAAGTCCTAGGGGAAATTTTTATTTTTATTTTAAAAATAAAGTTCAATAATATAAACGCAAAGTGTATTACACAGCTTCTAGTATGTTGATGAAATCCCCACCTCCAACAAACAACCTGTATATGTTAATGATATGAAGAAGGAATGAAAAAAATTGGTTGAAGCAAGTTTTAGGGAAGCAGGAAATACTGGGAGGCACGCCCTGCTTTATGAAATCCATGTTTCCAGAGCAAGTCTGCTCAGCCATAAGGCTTCTCTTGAAATAAGCGTCAGCACGCAGAACAGAGTGCGGGAGAAACACGGGCCTAAGCCGTACATCACGGTCCCCGTGTTTCCAGCACTAATGGATTTTTTTGCAGAGGTTGTGATGGCAGCTCTGCAGCTTGCCACCTTCTCCCCTTACATTAATCACTTTAAAGTATCTGCAGTGGTGTCAGGGTAGGGAGAGAGAGAGACGGAGACAGAGAGGGACAGAGAGCCAGGGAGGCAAGTACTCAGTTGTCAGTACTGATGGGGTCCTGGGAAGCAAGGACTGTAGCAATGAATGGATTGCTGGTGGAAAACATGTACGTTCATAAAATTCCCCCTCAGACATTTTCACATGGAAAATATTTATGTTCCATTTACTTTGGCTTCCAAGGGCTATTATTTGGTCCCATTTGATGATGGTTTTGTGGCAAACAAAAAAGTGAGTTCAAGTACATTAGCCTGTTTCCACTTACAAGTCGTACTTCTCTTACCTTGTTTTCAAGGTGAATCAAAAGACTATGTTTTTTTATCCAGGTAGGGGAATTATTAGTAGTGACTTTTAATAAGTATTCATTCACTTAGACTTTATGGGAACAGCATAGATAAGGTTCCCTTTGGCGGGGGGCATGGGGTCTGATGACCAGTAAGAGTTTGCATCAAAGCCTTAAAAGGAAGTGAAAGAATTAAGGTGATGCGCTGGTGTGCTTGTCTCCTCAGCTGGATCCCAAATTCATGTCTTATGGACAGGCAGGGAAACTTGGCTTCTTCCTGCATCACTCACTGTCCAGCCTCAGCCTTAATTTGGAGAAAAATTAACTTGAGGCCCCTAATAATGGCAGATGATTGGCCACAAATTGAGAATGTATGAGAGCTGCCCACAATCACACCAATAAACAAAAATATTTGTGCAACTCCACTTCAATACTAAAAATAGAGTGGTTTCCACAAATGGTATGCAGTTACTGTTACACCCATCATGTGAACTAGAATAAAGTCTATCAGAAATTAGCATTTCTTTTTGGTATAAGGGATTTCTTTTAAATCCATTTCCTCTGTACTCATTTGGAGTCATCATTAAGTACCTTGTGGAATTAAGTACCCAGTGCTCAGTGGCATGGAAGTTGGGGACTCTGAGCCCAGCCCCAGCTTTGGGGCCTCACCAAGAGGGGTGAAGACAAAAACCACAAAGGCAAGGGGACAGAGGGATGACCTGTGGGCTGCATTTAGAGATACAAAAATAAACTTGGCCACAACTCTTCTTAATACCAACAGCACGTCCCACTGTAGCTGTGGGGAAGACAGAATACTGGTGGGACGCACCAACAAAGCTGTAAATATCTTCTCATCCTATTTCTTGACTTCAATTTTACATTGATTTAATGCAATCCAAATCAGACATATAAGCAGAATCTCACATTATGCAAATAATGATAATTAAATAATCTTGCAATGAGCGAGGTAAAAGGAAATGTACTTGCTCCATTTAGCTTAAACTAAATGAGCCTTTCTTTCCCTAATCATTCTTGAAACTTCAGGGAGAAGGGGCCTGTTAATGCAAGGCTTACATTCTGGATTGAGCTTTTCTTATTTCTCAGTAACTGCTCATCCTTCAGAATTTGCAGATGCAACAATGAAGTAACAGGATCCTAAAGAAGAAAGAAGTGGGAAAAGCAGCTCAGGTCACTCAGCAGCACTGACCATTGAACCTCAACTAAGCCTGAGTTTATTTAGCTCCAGCATTTCAGAATAACAGTGTTGTTCCCATTTAGAGATGAGGAGAAAGAGAAGGGAGAAACATTAGAGTGCTCCTGTGGGCTGGCCACCCATCTGGATGCCTGCGAGACTGTCCTAGTTTTGGTGGTGGTGTTGTTAGTGAGGACAATCCCTTGTCCCCGCAAGCACTGTTTGTAACCATCTCGGAAGTTTGCTGGAGCCAGGAAACCGTCATCAGCTGGGCTGGCAGAAGATAGCCTGCAGGGGACAAGCCAGCTGTGGGGATGAAAAACATTTGCGTGGAGAGGGGAAGGTGACAGGGAAGGGTCAGATGGGAACTTAACGGGGGCTTCGTGAGACCACAGAAGGCTGGCAGGGGCCCATTAGAAACGAGGTCAGAATGGCTTGCCCTAACGCCTCAGAGAAGAGGTGAGTTTTCCTGATGACAATATTCTACGTGATACATTTGCACTTTCGTGAATGTGCAAGGAACACCCCTCTGGAGGGTGTCACATTAAGATGCGAAGTCCTAGAAGGCAGGCTGGCTTGCACCGTTGCGGGTGACTGCCAAGGCTGCAGGACTGCATCTCTGTCTTTGTCTCCAGCTGGCCCTGAGCAGTCACAGGTTATTACAGCAACAGCGTGCGTATTTGTTCACCATTCAAGAAACACTGACTTGGCTTTTACTTACTAAGCACCAACTACGCTCCAGACAATTTTTAACAATAAGTTCAGTAGTCTTCAAGCGGTATGCTCCTTATCCTTAAGATAATTTTGAAAAACATTTATCACCTCACAAACCTGACAACTAAAATTGTCCAGCATGTGCTTAAATCCTTTTATTAACATGATACATAATGTCTAATATTTTAGAAGATGAAGTTTGGAGTAACTCAATATGAATCAATAAAATAGCTGT